CCATCAGAAAGAGAAATCACAAAAATAATCCCATTTATAACTACGTCAAAAAGAGTAAAATACCTAGAAGTAAATTTAAGCAAGGAGGCGAAGGACACTGAAGAGGCACAGATGGAAGATCCTTCGCGCTCACGAGCTGGAAGGATATCGCTCAAATGTCCACAGCACACAAAGCAACCTCCAGGTTCCACGTGACGCCCATCAAAATCCCAATGACATTTTTCACGGAAGTAGGACAATCCTAAAATGTGTGCAGAACCACAAAAGAGCCCGAACAGCCAAGGCAATCTTGAGAAAAGCTTCCTCTGGAGGCATCACACTGCCTCATTTCAAACTATGTTACAAAGCTGTAATAACCAAACCGGTATGGTGTTGCCATAAACACAGACACACATGAACATAAGGGAAGAGAAGCAAAAATAATACAAAAACAGGGAGGGGGACAAAAAGTAAGAGACTCTTAAATACGGAGAACAAACAGAGGGTCGCTGGAGGGGGTGTGGGCGGGAGGGGCTACATGGGGGAGGGGCGTTAAGGAATCTACTCCTGAAATCACAGTTGCACTATATGCTAACTAACTTGGATGTAAACTTAAAAAAATAATAAATGTAAGTTAAAAAAAAAAAGAGAAAAACTCAATCTGATAAAAACGGGAAATTTTCCCAAAGGACACACAGACGGCCAACAGACACGTGAAAAGATGCTCCACATCACTCATCATCAGGGAAACGCAAATCAAAACCACACTGAGACGCCCCCTCACGCCTGTCAGAAAAGACAAGAGACAACAAGTACCGGTGAGGGTGTGCAGAAGAGGGAGCCCCCTGCACTGCGGGGGGATGGAAACTGGTGCGGCCAGTGGGGAAATCAGTGTGGAGGAGCCTCAAAAAGCTAAAATAGAACTACCAGCAATTCCCCGTCTGGGTATTTACCCGAAAACACAAAACAAAAACACTAGTTAGAAAAGATAGATGTGCTCACGTCCGCTGTGGCACCTATTCCCAACAGCTACGGTATGGAAACAACCAGAGTGTCCATCCATGGGTGAACGGGTACAGAAGAGGTGGCACAGTCACATGACGGACTACTCAGAAGCCATAACAAAGAATGGAGTCCTGTCATTTGTGATAACACGAACGGACCCTGACGGTATTATGCTAAGTGAAATAAGTCAGAGAGTGACAAACACCATATGATCTCACTTACAGGTGGAATCTGAAAGGGGAAACAAGCCTCACAGATGCAGAGAACAGACCGGTGGTTGCTAAAGGCGAGGGTGACTAGGTGGTGGGTTAAAAGGGAGGAGGGGTCAAGAGGCACAAACTTCCGGTCATAAAATAGTAAGTCATGGGGATGTACTCACAGCACAAGGACTATATTCAACAGTACCGTATTGCATATTATGTAACTTTATATGGTGACAGGGGAAATCAGATTTATGTGGTCATCATTTCACACTGTAGAAATACAGAATCACTCAGTTGTACACCTGAAACCAATGTAACGTTATATGTCAGTTATACCCCAATAAAAAAAAAAGTCATGATTTACGGTTTCAGAACCTGCACTGGCCTCTGCACAGACAGCTCAGCCTGGAGCCTGCTTGGAATTCTGTGTCTCCCTCTCTCTCTGCTCTTCCCCTGCTCATGCTGTGTGTGTGTGTCTCTCTCTCTCTCAAAAATAAACAAACATTTAAAAAAATATATTTATGGGGCACCTGAGTGTCTCAGTCAGTTAAGTGTCCAACTTTGGCTCAGGTAGTGATCCTATGGTTTGTGGGTTCAAGCCCCACGTCGGGCTCTGTGCTGACAGCTCAGAGCCTGGAGTTGCTTCGGATTCTGTGTTTCCCTCTCTCCCCAGTCATGCTCTGTCTGTCGGTCTCTCTCTCGCTCTCTCAAAGATAAATTTAAAAATTTTTTAACATTAAAAAAAAAGTATTCCAAATCCAAGAAAATGTGAGACTTCAGTTTTATTATAATTTATTATAATGCTAATTTAGTTATTATTTTATTTTCAATGGTTCTTTCCACTGAAAACTTCACTTGTTATTCAACTGGCAAAACTAAAAACCCATGTATCCTTTACAGTGAGACAATCTGCAGGTTTGTTTGTTTTACTTTTAAATAGAAATCAATTTGTAAGCATGTAATTGTCTGAACAGACTATAATTCTATATCTAATATAGTACACATGGTAATTTAAAAGGCTAACTGGAACTCAAATATATTCTTATATTCCAAAACTAACAAAACGGCAGCAGTCGGAGACAGATGGTAAGAACGTAGTGAGGGCCCTTAGCGTGTCAGAAACCGACATTCCAGGTTTTAGTTACCCTCCAGTGCATGTAAAGGTCTGTAACGTGGAAGTAATTTGCAGTTTTACAAAGGCACCAAATGCGGGGTTTTAGAGACATGAAGAAGTAAAACTCTACATTGATACTACTCACTTCTATGAGTCCACTATGCACGGCAAATAACCAGGGCAGGAAATGCACGAGGCCGTTTTATCAACTGTGGCAGCTAGAATTTATCTTATCTACAGCTCTGAAAATAGTTCTAATCCTGAATATATACAAAGCAACGCCTGGATTTTCTGTTTTATTTTATTGCGATTCATGGGAGAAACCATATATATACAGGGTGTAAATCCTTTACTTCCTAACTGATTTGGGGCTTCAGTTTCCTATTCCTTCACTTGCAGGGTTGTCAGGAAGAACTCAAGTTGAAATCAGGGAACAGGTACCGCGCTCGGGGGATTATTAAATGCTGGTGCCCAGGAAGGGGCAGCTGCCAGCGGCGGTCCCTGGGGCCTGACGCCGAGGCCTGTGCGGGGCTCTCCACTCATCCTGGGCCTGTGTCTCTTCCTGGAGAAATGCAACCTCTTCTTTGAAGCTTCTTTGCTTTTTTTGAAAGAGAGACAGAGCATGAGCGGAGGGGGACGGGGGGGGGGGGGGGGGGGGGGGGGGGGGGGGGGGGGGGG